GGTAGTTACAGTCAATGCATAAAGACAAGCCCAGTCTCCCGGACCAACTTCTTTGCCCACCGTCTGTGTTTGAATAAACTCTAGCCTGTGGGGTCTTCGCCGATGTCCCCAGATCTCCTGCTTCTGCAGTCTTATTCCCACGAGCCTGGGCTCGGCGCTCTTCTTCCCAGAGGTCCCTACTCCCAGAATCATCTCCAGCTCCAGGTTGGGTTCCCTCCTGCTGGAGTGCTGAAATTCAGAGTTGTGGCTAGTGATTCCTTTTCTTTTTAACTGGTGACTTCTTTCTTCCTGACTAAAAAAGACAATGTACTAACTCTAGGAAATTTGGAAACTCCAGCAAATTTTGAAGAGAAGACAATAAATGTCACCATGGTCCCACCTTCTATTTAAAAGTGCTTCTCAGGGTACAGCGTGTGAGTGGTAGGGCACTGTGGTTAAGAATTTGGGCTCTGGATACAGACCAAAAGTTATTGCATACCAGCTGTGTTACCCTGGGCAAGTTACTTGACTTCTCTGTGCCTCTGTTGCCTCATTTGTAAAGTGTCTTCGTTTAAATTTATGATATTTTGTTTATCATGGATTTTTGCATTGATCTCAATTTTTATGAATATCACATTAAAATACTTATTTTGATTTGGGGTTACCCTTAAGTTTTGTACTCACTTCATGCTTGTTCTGACCCTTGGAGCTGCCAGCAAGAACCAAGTCAGCGCAACCCTCTGTTCTCCCCTCTGGGTGTCATTACCCTGTCCCAGGACTTCAGCCTACCTGCTGACCTCTGGACACAACCTCTGACCTCCACAGCCTCTTCTGGGGCAGGGTGGGCTAAGGTGCTGGAGCAGGCCAGGCCACCCTGCAGAGAAAGGCTGCTGTAGTCTCCCAAGCAGCTCGTTTAACATGTGGAGAGATGCAAATTGAGGCAATCCTGCTGTTTTAGAAGAATTTAATATGTTTTTTAAAAAGATAGGGTGAAAGGCAGAAATTGCAGGAAATTATATATTGCAGGAGCTGCTTTATCTTCTCTGCAGTTGATTCCAGCGATGCTTCTCATTTTGGAACAGCATTTTATGTGCTCAGAGAACCCCATTCTCAGGCTGAGGCTGTCAAATAGCCGAACCTCTGACCCTCAGCCAGAATTCGCTGCTCTGTTCTCCTGCTGGCCCAGCATGTCTTATTGCCACTTTCCCCAGCTGCTTCTTGGTTTCCCATGTATATCGAGGGGTTGATTATTCACTAACCCACATTTGAGGGGGAGCAGTGGAAGCCAGGTTCATATGACTGTTGACATTAACTCAGAACCTGATCGAGAGCATAGGTCCCAGACAATTACGTTCCTTGTGTCAAGGACTTGCCTATGGGGTGGGCGCCATCAGGGAGGAGGCTTGCCTTGGTTACAGCCCAGAAATCTCTCTGAAGGTCTTATCTACAGTGGCACAACAATACAGCTTATCATAGTGGGCTTTTGGTGAATGTTCCTGGGTCTATGAATGAGGGCAGGTAGGCCGAGCAACGAAATAAGCCCCCAGCCCCTGGCAGCATCTCACTTATCTGCCATCAGTGGGGAACGAGGTATATAGCACACTGGTGGATTTTTCCAGTTAGCTGAATTTCAGAGACGGTCTCTCTCTCTTTTTTTTTTTTTTAATTTTAACTAGTTTGCACGGAGGCCTTTCTAAAATGGATTTCACACTTCTCTGGCTTCTCATACTGAGGCTACGGAACATAATTAAACTTATCTTGATGATTCGGGGTTATCATTTGGAATCTCAGTTGTCAATCTTTGGAGCCAGACTGTGTTGTTCCAATCCCAGCTCTTACTAGCTGTGTGGCTTTGAGCAAGCGTGTTAACCTCTCTGTACCTCAGTGTCCTCATCTTTACCATGGGAATAATAACCGTACCTACCTGATAGGGTTGCTAGAGGGTTAAATGAATTAATAGATATAAAAATAGTACCTGGCACATATAAGGTAGAACCATATATTGTCATTTCCATAGAGAAACGGCAGTTTATTATTGGCAGTTTCCTATGGTTCAACCCAGTAGTAGGTGGCACTCCGCAGGTGCTGGCTCCTATTCTTATACGCTAGGCTCTGTGCTAGACGCTGTGGACCAGAATTTACCATATGCCATGGCTTTGAGTCTTCCCAAAGCTCCCGCAGGGGCATTAAACGCCCTGAAATTTATATAGCCAGTCCTGGGAGGAGCCCACCAGGTCCTAGTCCTCTTCCCTTTTCCAGGCCATGGAACGGGGCTCCTTAAGGAGGCATTTAAAGTGTTCCTTCCATCCGCCATGGGATGAGATTGGAACTTTCTCCTGGGGCGAGTGTGCCTGCCCTAATACCTTAGGAGCCTAGGGATTTTTCTGGACAGCTAAGAGTGAAAATTCTGAAGTCTGACTGCCTGGGTTACTAACTGTCTGACTTTGAACACATGACTTCATCTCTGAAAGCCTCAGTTTCCTCATCTGTAAAATGGGGAAACTAGAGGAGTTACTCCATGTGATTGTATGAGGTCTGGAGGCTTAACACAGTGCCAGGCTCCAGTAAGTGCTCAGTAAGTCAGCCGTTCTGTTATTGCAGGCCTGAAGCCCTAGAGTTCTCTGGAGGCTCTAGGATTCTTGGCATTTCTAGGGCTTTGGGAGCCCCCAGTCCAGCTTCCTTCTCCTGCTCTGGTAGACGATGATGAGAGACATAATAAAAGCCATTATCACCTGGGCACCTCCTTGTGCCTGTCCTCAGAACCTCCCGTTAAGTAGGCACTTCCATCCCAGGTAACCAGAGCGCAGCTCCTTCCTGCCCATACAAGCTCAGAGTCTAGAGAAATCAGCCCGTTCTAAAGAAAACAGGGAAGTGGGTGTGGTGAAATGTAATTCACTGTCTCGCAGGGAGGTAGAGTGGTGTGCTGCAAGAGGCAGGACTCTGAAATCAGTTTATACGTGTTTGAATTTCTGCTCTGCCACTTCACAACTGGGGATCTTGGGCGGGTTACCTAACTTCTCTGACCCCCAGCTTTCTTTTTCTTTCTTTCTTTCTTTCTTTCTTTCTTTCTTTCTTTCTTTCTTTCTTTCTTTCTTTCTTTCTTTCTTTCTTTCTTTCTTTCTTTCTCTCTCTCTCTCTCTCTCTCTCTCTCTCTCTCTCTCTCTCTCTCTCTCTCTCTCTCTCTTCCTTTCTTTCTTTTTAAGATGACTGGTAAAGGGATCTTAACCCTTGACTTGGTGTTGTCAGCACCACGCTCACCCAAGTGAGCGAACCGGCCATCCCTATATAGGGATCTGAACCCGGGGCCTTGGTGTTATCAGCACCACACTCTCCCGAGTGAGCCACGGGCAGGCCCCCCAGCTTTCTCATTTGTAAAAAGTGACAAAGGATTATTCTGGGGGCTAAATATGGTAAGGGATGCACGGTGCTGAGCTCAGTGACTGGCCCACACAGATGGTATCTAATAAACGTCTGTTGAATGAATGAGTGAGGGAACGAGTGGAGGGATGCTGGGCTTGTTGTCATCAGATGTCCTTGAGGGAAGGTATGTGAGGTGGTGCAGGTGGGGGTGGGCAGGGACACAGGCCACACATATGGATTCATAGGGGAGGGGAGAAGTGTTCAACTCACCATCATCATCACAGTTCACACACACACGGCGCTCAGTGTGTGCCTACACCGTTCACACTACCGTGTTCCTATCAACTCACTTGATCCGCACAAGCCTATGAGGTTGGCACTGCCATCACCCCTGTTTTGCAGGTGACGAAACTGAGCACAGAGGGGGTGAGTAACTCGCTCTATGTCACATAGCTAGTGAGGGATCGGGCTGAAGCGACCATATTCTTAACTGTTTTACCACCATAATCATTACCCGACCTTTTGACTGTGTCCTTCAGCCTCATGGGAGGTGGCATCTTTATCTCTGCCATCATTTTCGTCCTCCCTGGGCTGTGTGTCACTGATCTCAAGACCCCCACACACAGTAAGAGGAAGGGGCAGTGTGGGGATGCTGAGAGACTTCCCCACAGGCCCTGGCCCTTGAGAGCAGGCCAGGCCCCACGGTCTCTAGGACAGAGCCCCGAGCTCTGGCCAGTTTGAAGCTGATTTGTCAGGACACAGAGTTTTCAATTTGCAGAGGCCACACGGGGGATGGGTGGAGAGGAGGACATGGGGCCGCTCTGTTGCCCACTGCCCTGTTGGCGGTAGTGACAGCTCAGGGACTGGAGGCCATGCGAGGGCAGGGGGTCTGGCCATCCTCACCAGGGCCTGGACTCCTGCTTTGCACTCTTGGAGTATGTGTTGGGTCAGCTGGAGCAGTGAACTGGTCTGGAGAGTCAGAAACTGGGCTCTGCTTTGTCATGAACTTGAGGAAATCACTCTCTACTCTGAGCCTTTGGCTTCTTAGCTATAAAACGCGCCATGGTCCCTGCTGTGTCTACCTCAGAGCATGGGGTGGGCCTCTTGTGAGTGAGCGGGTGTGAAGGAGGTGCTTCAGCAGGGGCTTCCTCTAGGAACTGCATCTTGGGGTTAGTGGACCCAAGCTCAGAGTGGCCTTGGTTGGTCATTTCACCTTTCTGAGCCACTCAGCCAACGAGTAATGAAATCGTGTGTGTTAGCATTCTTCAAGGGGTTGCCACGTGCCTGCACTGTGCTGAGCACTTCACACCCCTCGTCTAGTTTAGTCCTGTGAGTCACAGCCGAGGCTGCGAGAGGGAGAGGTTGCCTACCTCGCCCGAGTCACACAGCTAGGAAGTGGCTGAGCTAGGATTCAAACAGAGGCAGCTCCAGAATCCACCTGCTTCACCACCCAACTGACCCTCTGGGCCCACTAGGTGGGGCTGTTTGAGGACAAAAGTCTAAAGTGTTAGCCCAGGGCCGGCACTCGGTGCTGGGCAGGTGTAAGATGCTGCCCTTTCTGACCAAGTTGGTACCTGGAGTCCTCATGTTTGCCAGGTCCTGGGGCTATATTTCCCCTCTTCTCCTGCCTCACGCCCCCCCGTTCTCCTTCCTTCTCCCAGGATGTTGCCACAATGCAGTTCTGTGCCAACAAGCTGGACAAGAAGGATTTCTTTGGGAAGTCTGATCCCTTCTTGGTGTTCTACAGAAGCAATGAGGATGGAACGTGAGTTTGCTGGTGCCGCTCGCCCTCCGTGCTTTCTCAGTCCCTTCTGGGGCCAGTGATGGGCGGGTTGTGGGGATTTGCCAGGCAGGGTGGTCCAGCTCCTTCTGCTGCCTCCCTGGAGAGGGTGGGGTGGAAGTCTGGGGTTCCAGGGTAGTGCCCTGACCATGTAGACAGGGCTGGTGGGGGTTGGGGGCAGCCTCTGAGCTGGCAGTGCCATTCTGAGGGTCTTAGCAACGGTGGGTGCTAGGTATGTCGAGGGTGGGGGGAATGAGGGCCCAGTCTCCCACAGGACCATTCTGAGAGTCCCTTCATTCTTCTGTACAAATCAGTCTATCTCCAAGCCCAGTCCCCTCTGTCCACAGCCCTCTGAACACCCCGTTATGTCCGCCACTACTGCACACTCATCATGGCAAATCTGGACCCTTTCCCCAACCTGGCCCCACACTCTGCCATAGGCTTTACTCAAAACTCCAGACATCTTTGAAGCCCCTACTTCCTGCTGTCCTCTCCCCAGTGTAGAAGCCACCCACAATATGATGGGAGCATATGCAACACGCTGGCAAATGTAGGTCAGCAATAAACACAGAGGAGGATTCTGGGTTAAGGGTCTGGGGACCTAGGTTCTCTCTTCCAACCTGCTGTGTGACCCTGGGCAAGTTATGCCTCCTCTCTGGGCCTGTTTTCTTATCTGTAAAATGAACCAGCTGGATTAGGTAGTCTCCACGGTCTCTTTAAGCACAGCAGTTCTGGGAGGCTGTGGCCACTTACGGCTGGGATTCTGCAGAATGAGGAAGTGATGGGGCCAGGGAGGTTAATTAGAAAAACGCTGCTGGAGAAGGGGAACTTGGAAGCAGGATTTGAAGGAGAAGAAGAAAATGGGTCCATGGGGTGGGGCTGGGGGAACAGGGAAGAATAACAGGCCAGAGAAAGGACTTCTCTGAACGCCGCTTGATTCTGAAATTCTGGGTGTGTGTGCGCGCGCGCGCGTGTGTGTGTGCGTGTGTGTGTGTGTCTTGGAGGCAGGGGAGCAGCGGGGAGGAGGCGTGTTTCAGTTCAAGGGAAAACTGATTTTTAAACCTGAACATGCAAAACAAGGGAAATTAGGTATGATCATTTGCATAACAAAAGGAGTCTTAGTCTCACCAAAGGACTCTCAGCAGCATAGCATTCTTTAAATAATTCCTGTTGACTTTGCTTTGACTTGAGGTGGGGGAGGAAAAGGTCTGAGTGTTGTTCGGGTGTCCACACCAGTTCCCTGCAGAGAGACAGAGCCAGGGGCACACCGGCCTTGTCCCGCTGGCCAGGAGGGTGGGGGTGGATTTTGGAGCAGGAGAAGGGTGCATTGCAAGGGTGTTTGCGAGTGGTTGTTCTAGCAGGGTGATGTGTAGGATGGATGGGGAGGGGGCAGGGAGAGGGAGAGGGAGAGCCTCGTGATGACACGGTGAGCAGGTGGGAGGTGCTGCCAGCGCCCGGAGCTCGAGCCCTGCAGTGGAGATGCCGGGGGAAGGGAGCACGGGGGGCAAAAGGACACAGCACGGAGACCTCACTGGGCAGAGTTTGGATGGGGACCATCCACTAGCCCCATCCCCTGATAGTGAACCCCAGGAACACAGAGTGTTGGAAATGGTGAAGGAGCTGGTCAGATGGCAGAGGTAACAGGAGTTTATTTGGGGGCAAGTTTGACTTGAAGTGGGGGCTGGAGCTCTCTGGGGGGCAGGACACTGATCCCCTGGGGGAGATCCCACGGGACACTGGAAAAACTGATCTGGAGGCCCACCTCTTGGCAGCTGTGAAGGGACAGAAGCTGAACTGGTGAGAACAGGGTGGTCACCAAGGGTTTGAGGAGAGAAGAGTGGAAGGTCGGGAGACACCCCCGCCAGGAGGAGGATGGGAGGAAGGTCAGTGTGGGAAGCAGGGGAGTGAACTGTTGTGCCCACCACGGAGGAGGGACAGGAAAGGAAGTGTCCACGGAGCACCCGCTGTGCTCCTGGAGCTGCACTGACCTTGTCTTGTCTAATGCAGGTAATTCACCTGGGAGTCAGAATGTGGCGGTGAAGCGGCTCAGCCAGGCCGCCCGCCAGGTCCTGGCCTGGCACTGCCAGTTATTAGCTGTGTAACTCAGGCAAGTCTCTAACCCAGTAGCACTTTCTGGGATGATGGAAATGTTCTGTGTCTTGCTACCCAGTGTGGTAGCCACTACCCACATGTGGCTATTGAACACTGAAATGGGGCTAGTGCGACTGAGGAACTGCGTTTTTCATTTCATTTTATTTTAATTAAGCTTAGCTAACCACATGTGGCCAGTAGCTACCATTTTGGCCAGTGCAGCTGTGATGACTTTGCAGCCCAGTGTCCTTGTGTACAGTGGAGGTGATTGCAGCAACTCTCTCGCAGGGTCGCTGCAATGATTAAGTGAGTTAATATGTGTAATTAGAACAGGACCTGCCAGCATTAGCTACTGTTCTTATCGCCATTTTACAATGAGAGGAAAGCTCAGAGAGGGAAAGTCACTTGCCCAGGGATGCACAGCTAGTAAGTAGTGACCCTGGGACTAGAACCCACGTGTCTGACTCCGTTGGGTAACGTCTCCTGCACCATGCCCTGAATATGTGTGAAAATGAGTTGAGCACTGAGATGATCACAGGGACCATTTCCACATGAGGGCTTGGCCCCTCCACCATGGCAAGTGCAGCAGAGGAGTCAGGGGGCCTGTGGTCATGGGAGGCTTGGGGGAGCTTAAGGAAAGCAGCTCCAGGCAAGAGTCTGAGGCAGAAATCAGACTGCACAGGGTCCAGGAAGGAACAAGCAGGGGGAAAATTGGGCTAATAGCTTAGAAGACCTGGTCAGGAAGTTTGGCTGTCAAAGGAGAAGGAGAGGCTGGGGAGGGTCCACAGGTCTGTGTGACCATTCCAGGGCAGGAGGTCCTTGGAGCCCAGAAAGACTTCTGTGCAATGTGATTCTCCCTCCCTTCACCACCCACTCGCTGCGCCTTGTTATCCCTCGGGCCCCCCACACTCACCCCCAGCCTCCTGCTGCCCTGCCAGCCTGCCCCAGCCATGGGCAGCTGCGGCCCCACATGCCCCCTTCCCCTTCCTGTCCTCGCCACCTGCTCCGGGGTGTGTGGGGAGGTCTCCCACATGTATCTCCACATCCAGTGGGTGGGCGAGAAAGAGCAGAGGAGAGAAACGCTGAGCCACAGTGACAGGAATGACATTTTGACTTGAAAACTGCCAGAGAAGAAATGGCACAGGCTGTGTGGGTGTGGGCGGAGCCCAGGCACTTCCTGGATGACCTTTCCAAGCCGGAATGTAGCTGGGGCAGACGCTGGGAGATCTTGGAGAGAGGCCCCTGCCCCAGCCCAGCTCTGCTCCGGGCTGCCCACCCATGTGGCAGGGCTGGCTTCCAGGATGGGGCAGCCAGGTGTGGTGTGGGGAGTATGCAGGGACAGTGGACTGGGGCCCAGCTGGGACAAGCCAATTCTGCACTTTTAGTTCACAAAGCAGGTTCGTGGATTCAGACTGGAAAAGCTGAAAGGGTCTTAGAGATCATCTAAGTCAGGGCTTGAGTTTCATTAGGTTGAAATGCCAGTGAAAGCTAAGGAAACGTTCCCCTGGAAAATACATTTATTCATTGATTCATTTTAAAAAAATTATTGAATACCTACTAAGTGCCAGACACTGTTCCAGGCTCTAGGGATATACCGGTGATCAAAAAAGACAAAAATCCTTGATCTTATAGAGCATACATTTTAGAACAGATCATAAACAGAACAAATAAGGAAGAAAAAAAAAAAAAAAGACTGTGACCAAATGTCAAATGGTGACAAATGAAATTTTATTTTATTTCATTTTATTTTTAAAGATGACTGGTAAGGGAATCTTAACCCTTGACTTGGTGTCAGCACCACGCTCTCCCAAGTAAGCTAACCGGCCATCCCTATATAGGGATCCGAACCCGTGGCCGTGGTGTTATCAGCACCACACTCTACCGAGTGAGCCACAGGCCGGCCCCACAAATGAAATTTTTAAAAAAGCGTGGAAGGAACTAAGGAATGTCAGAGTCAGGGGACCAGGGGATTGTAGGTTTTAGATATGGTAGTCAGGGAGGTTTCACAGAAATGACATTCGACCTGAAGGTAGTGAGGAGGTAGGCCTTGAAGATGGAAATGGGGAAGAGAATGTTCCAGGCAGGGGCAGCAGCAGGCATACGTAACTCATACACGCAAATTCGCCTG